GGTGGGGGGGGCGACAGAAGCAGGTGGATCTCTATGAGTTTGAGGCCAGCCTGGTCTACATAGCAGGCCCCCAGAACAGTCGAAGCTACGTAGTTAGGCCAAAATGTCTCAAAATGAAGTTACAGAAACGCAAGTGGGAAAACAAAGGCCTCAAGCCTTCTCTGACTCAACAGGGCAGTTCTGGTACCTAGGAGCCACCTTCCACAGGAAGTGGCCCATCTGAGGAAGGCTTAAAGGGCTTCCAAACACAGGAAAAAGGGCATGGCGTTGTGTGTTCCCCAAAGAAAAATCTCTGGTGTGTGTATGGGGGGGACAGGCAATGATCAGAAATGGTGACAGCATTTAATTTGCCAGTGAAGGAGGAAAAGGCAGCTTTCCCAGGGTCTGGTGCTCTTAGGCAGTATTGTCCTCACATGTGCCCCAACACCACACACACCCATCCTTTCTGCTAAGACCACACTCTGGAGAGAAGGCACAGAGGGTCACAGCAGGCAGGAGGCAGTTTGTCCCCTATCTAAGGTGTTGCATCATTGATCCCATGATGGGGCCGGTTTCCACGACAGTCAGATTCCCCTCTTCCAGGGCACATCCTTATTTTAACAGTGGACATGTTTCATCGCAATTCCTTTGGCTTTTACTTTCCTTTTGAAACTAAACTCTGGTAATCCGGAGGTTTTAATGACTTATCAACAACTTACATTTTGGATGTCGGCCCTTCCTGTTGGTATTCACGCGTATGTTTATTTACCGTATGTGGACAGAGTTGTCTGTCACCAAAAGGCCAGCGCTCAGTTAATGCCATACAGAAGATAAACTTGGCATTTGAGCTCTACACAGGAAAATTGTCAAGGTGTCCGAATTCTGCCAAACGAGAGGCCCTTGGCGTCTTTCTCCACACGCCCTGTACATGCCCCTTATACCAAAGATTCAAACACGGAGTGTGACAAAGAAAAGCCCACACTGTAAGGTGTGCACCAGAGCTGAGAAAAGCTGGAAGTGGAGAGCCTTGGAGCACATGGAGCCCACACAGGCACCCCTAGCCCACCGAAGCGGTGGTTAGCATTCCAGCAGTTGGAGGGCTGTACAGAAATGTAACCGTCTGCTCCTGGCTTGCTTCCAGATGACCACTCCAGGATCCTGCTGAAGTCTAAGAACAGCCACAGCAACTCGGACTACATCAATGCCAGCCCCATCGTAAGTACATGGTCACTGGGGAAGGGGACAAGGGGCTGTTTCTGCCACTCCTTGTGATGTCACACTCCTTTAGTGGTTAGTGGCATGTCTTTAGGCATAGGATGGATGGGTGCACTTGTTTCCAGCCTCAGACGAGGGGCTGGAGAGAGAAAGCTGGAGCCAAGTAAGTGCTGGCCAAGAAGAGAGGGAAAACTGGTGTGTGGGGCAGGGGTGGGGTGGGATGGGTGGCAGGGCTGGAAAGTTGGGTGTCAGAGAAGGCTGGGCTGGCTTCCACTCTGCAGCTGGAGTGCTGTGGTTGGGAGAGAAGAAGCCAGCTGTGCGGAGTCACAGACCATGATTGGAGACTTCCTAAAGAATTCAGAGGATTTCACCGTGTAGATCTGGGACCCATGTAGCCTTTGCCACATCTGGAAAGGACTCAGGAAAGTATCAGGAACCTCACTTCAGTTCTGAAGTTCAAATTTGCCGAACAGGGCCTGCAGCACACAGCATTTTCTGATGAGGTCCCCACCACACCAAGGACTGAGAATACACAGGTCATCTCCAGGCTACAAACCTGGATTATCATGTCCTAGCCCCCTTCAAATCCTATAATAGTATGCCAACTATGAGAATGTATTCAGTATGTCACAGGAAAGGGCTTTGGACAGACCTTTAGGAGATGTTAACCATCCTTGTTGGATGAAATTTTAAGACTCCAGCAATGTGTAGCCAATCCTATTTCCTGACACCTCACATCCCACACAGTGAATGGGAGCCTTTGTGAGACATGACCTGACTGAAGAACTGGAGCTTTGTCTATACTGCCTGAGACCAGACCATTGCATGTATACACATACATTTACATACTTACATGTGTGTGCATCGCTGGGGATGGCTTCTTTACCTCGGCAGGAGTGGACTTTGAGGCCTGAGCCCATCTGTCTCAGTGGTTCTCAGTTAGGGTTGCTCAACTCATCTTTCTCTGTAGGACTCATTTAAGCTCCAGCCCAAGCCTTGCTAGCTGACTCACTTCTGAGCAAGTGCTCAGGCTCAGGCTCTACATGTCATGATGGAAGACTGACTGACAGGTGACAGCCACTCAAAAACCAGTTGAAGTGGTTTTCCTCTTGTCCTGATCCCTCCTTGCTGAAAAGAACTGGATGAGGAAACCAGAATGGAAATAGAGGTCATTTCCAAGTCTGAACATCAAGAGTATATACCCTGGCACACCTGGCTAGGATTCAGGCTGAAGCCCTGACTCAGCATGGGTTTGTGTGGCTCACAGCTACACCATCCACAGACCAATGGTCACAGGGTATTCTTTGGTGGTGACAGGAGAGTCCCATGAGCTCATGTTAAGAGTGACTTCCCCCAGGCCTTGCTGTCCATAGCTGTAGGTCGGAAGGGTCAGTTGGAAAGGCAATATCCTAGTAACTTTCATTTTCTCTTTGCTTCATATTATAATTCTTTTTTTTCTTCTTCTTCTAAATTTGAATGTTAAGAATGAGCCAGAAGAAACTCATTGTGCTGTCTCTCTGAGATAACTGGAGGAACCCTGATAATGACCCTCATAGCAGCCACTAAATGAGCAGTGAGCTTACAATTACACCCAGACGGCTTTGGCTGTACCACATAAAACTATGACAATTACATCTGTGCCCAGTCCTCATTAAATTTCAGGAAAGTCACCCAGTAGTAAATAAGGAACAGTTTGCTTTCAAATCAGGGTCGTGAGAGCAAATGGAGATTCTGCCATCCCACGCAGCACTTGTGAGAGAGAAACCATCACTTGCTCTAAGCATGGGGCTTGGCTACTCCCGAGGCCTCCAGACTGAGTGAGGCCACCCACTTTGCAAATAGGCACTCAGTGTGTGACCCGGAACCAGCCTGAGATTCCTAATGCCACCAAGAAACAAGCTCGGTTGTTCATCCTACTGTGTCAGTGACTGGAGGAATTTGAATGTTTCAGTTTGAATGCTTTCAACTAATTTAAGTCAGGAGCCTAAGGAAAGGATGACAGCTGTCCTAAGAAACTGGCCAAGTGCGGGGGATGGTTCGTGGGCTTTCAGAAAATATTCAGGCAAACATCTGTGCCTATGAGTTTGATATACATCACTGCTAAATAAATCACTACTCAGAGTGTGAAAGTGCCGTAAGCAACGTCTCTTGGTTCCAAAGCTCTAGCGCCCAGGACTGCCCCATGGGAAGAGCTGGCATCAGAAGGATAGTCTAGTTCCATTAGTTTTTAAGAAAGCATGCTAGTCATGCAGGTTGAAACAGGCCTTTAATCCCAGCACTCAGGAGGTAGAGGCAGGCAGATCACTGAGTTTGAGGCTTCCTGGTCTACACAGACTTCCAAGACAGCCAGGGCTACACAGAGAAACCCTCCCTTGATAAACCAAGAAGGAGAAGGAAGGAAGGAAGGAAGGAAGGAAGGAAGGAAGGAAGGAAGGAAGGAAGGAGGAGGAGGAGGAGGAGGAGGAGGAGGA